ACAGACAGATTTAACATTCATTCAAAGCACCAGGACAGCTTCCACATATCCATTCTCAGTCAAAGCAAAATTAACCTCAGACCCAGAGAGAGAGCAACTTCCTCTGATCCTCTGGGAGCTCTGAAAAATGTGCGGTGTACCGGGTCTCACAACACCACTGATTTAGTGGGGTGAAGAAATGTTGGGAGGAAAGAAAGAAGGTGAGGGGGTGAAAAAGAACATTGTCAGATACTATCACTCCCCAAAGGAACAACTTCAAGCCCCTAAGAACCTGCCCGAGGGCTGCCGATAACATTTATCCATAATGCTCTAACTAAAGCTGGAGCCAGACAACCCTGTCTGAACACCAATCATCTGCCGGGCCCATCTGAGCCCGAGTGCTAAAATGAGGCTGTCATTTGTACTGCAGCTCTTTCACTGCATGTCACTCTCCTGCAGAGATTGATGCTTCTCCTTTTCATGGCGCTATTCAGAACTCAGCTCCTGCAGCAGGATTAGCTGATTTGAAATGTTGATGAAGTTCAGACAGCTCCGACTGGGCAGAGTGATACATCTTCATTACGCTCCAAAGTGCTCCTAAAACATTATCATTAGTCTTCAAACCGCTGCCGTTCAGAGCCGGACTGCTGTGTAAAGGCTTGTCATCTTAAAAGCAGACTGAAGCAGCGTGTGTCAGCCTTCTATGAGCTTCCATTCATCCATATGCTACAGAAGATGCTTCAAGACATAGCACAATATGTCTCCACATTTTTTAGACTTCACACCAACAGGGAGAGACGTTAAATACAGCCTCAGCATCAGGGAGTGTTGTGGAGCAGAAACTTTAAAAATCCATTAGGATTGTCACTACAGAGCGAAGATAAACACATCAGTCATATCAGTCATCAACTTGTCACTTCTTTGAGTATTGCAGCTTCAATTTCAAATAAAGATTATGGTTTTACTGAAAAATGTGGTTCTTGATGTCTCCTAAATTCTTTCTAAAGAAAGCTCCATTAAGCTCCTTTTTTAATTTATTTCTTTATAGTAATTCCACGTTGTAATCATCTACATATGCTACGTACGTTGTGTTTACTGTCTGCAAAGTGAAAATAATGTTGTGCATGAGTGTTTGGGAGATAGGGTGGATGATGTGCACACATTTTAGGGAATCTGGATATGTCCATGTCCCCTTTTTGTTTGTTTGTTTATATATCTTTACTTATTGTTTAGTCAGTACTTTCTGGGTTTGTTTTTTGTTTGTTGTTCTGAAGTTGGCGTAACCTTAAGTTACTACAAATATACACATATTTAACTCATAATCACTGATTGATAGTTGCTTTTGAGTTAATTTCTAACTTAAAATGGATGGGTCGGGACAGGACAATCATATTAATTATTTATGTATGTATGTATGTATGTATGTATGTATGTATG